CAGAAAGGTTTTGGGTTCGAATCCCGTGCAAGGCATGAGTGTCTTTTCATTCTCTGTGCTATCTGTCCTTACTGTGGGAGCAACTTTGGCCCACCTAATATGGTGCCCCTGAAAGTGTAGCCAGCAAATCTGCCCTTCAGATGCCTGTATTGACGAAATGTCATTCCCCAGATGGGCATTAAAAAAAACTCTATTATAGTTTGTTTTTACTTACAGAATTATTTTAGACGTTAGAAAACAAATATTTTACCAAATAAAGAGCTATAATGATTTGTTGCAGATCATGATCTAGATTGTTTGGAACATGTGTAGTTTGGAGAATGCATACAACTTTATCTATTGAAGAGATTTAAAATGAGCCCCACTCACTCCCTGAACAGAACTCGCCCATTATTTCATAAAAATATTTATAAATGAGTTCTAAATATTGATTTAATTAGGTGTTTGAATCTGTTATGGCTTGGGTAAAAAATGATTTGGCTCGGATGAAACATTTGCCAGAATTGCTCACTCAGGTGCGAATGCCTTTATTAACACCTCAATACCTAACTGATCATGTTGCTACTGAAGAGTTAATCAGAACTTCACATCAATGTAGAGATTTGCTGGATGAGGCAAAAGATTACCACCTAATGCCTGAAAGACGGCCATTGTTACAGAGTTTCAGAACACGTCCTAGATGTTGTCCTGATATTATTGGGTGTATATATGCTGTTGGTGGACTCACAAAATCAGGTATATTTCCGTTTTTTAGGACTTTTCAATTTTAAACGATTGATTATGAAAGGCTATTTAGTATTGTGTATCACCAAAAAAAAATTTTTTTTTCAAGATTCTAAATTTCAACTTAAAAAATATCTGTTAATATTGTCTTATATTTAATGAAAATTTTTTTAGTCAAATTGAGAAACATTAAATTCTAGATTTAGATCNAGATTTAGATCTCTGGAAATGAGCCTAATTTTTTTTTTTTGAAGGTCAAAAACATCAATTTAAATTTTTTTAAAATCCTATCTGTAATACAAATTTTAGTTTCAAATTCTAAAATAACTATAATAATGTAAAATAACAACACATTGATTTGCAACAACAATTGAAACTTTTTGTTGATTTTAAATTTTGAGTATACATTTTTCATGATACATACTACTATTCAGCTTAAACTTCTTCTAAACAAATTATTCCTTCAAAACATTCGATGATATATTTATAGTAGTTATGTTACAATACAAAGTAAAGAAATCAGGAAAAAGCAAAATACTTTGAGGAATTGTTTTTGCATTTAATATATTTTAAACCTGGTAACTTCATCTTATCTATTTCATTTATTGTTTTAATGTTTTTATTTTCTAAATTAACTTCCATTGAAAGAACTAAAAACATTGTAATTTGATTAAACATCACATGGGAAGAGATTACCTTAAAAAGTTATAAAATTTTGTTTTAATCTGAAATATTCCCTTCATTTTTGTTTACTTTGTAACATTTTTTAAACCTTCTTTTGAGTTTTATGATGTTTAACTTTTTACCTAATATGCTTAACTATTATCAATTTATTTTCAGATATGATCATTAGTTGCTAAAACTGTTAGTTAACAGATTTAGTTTTGTACTTTGTGTGAATTTAAAATTTTTATTCATACTTTTATTCAGTATATTCTATAATATGTTTTTATAGTTATAAATAAGTTGTAATTTTTTTTGCAGGTGATTCTTTAAGCACAGTGGAGGTATATGACCCTAAAATTGGACGTTGGCAAATGGCTGAGGCCATGACAATGTTAAGGAGTAGGGTTGGTGTAGCAGTCATGCACAATAAGTTGTATGCTATAGGTGGGTACAATGGAACAGAACGACTGAGTACAGTTGAAGTCTTTGATCCAGGTCATCGTACTTGGTCTACTGCCGCATCTATGAATTGTAAAAGAAGGTTTGTAATGCAATTATTAATTATGTCAAATAATA